TTTACATTATTTATACCATTTGTATTTAATACAGAAATCTTCTTGGTGCATCTACTTTTTACACTAAAAATAGTGGCATGGTTCCTGAAAACGTTGTCTTTCTTTCTTTCTTTTTATTTACCCAAGTGTGTAGGTATAAGAGCTTTTAGGTGAGTATCAGGAAGAAAGTTCTAGGTATTGTTTTCATTGCTTGTGGAGAGTTAGGAGCACCTATCTTCCCTTCATATAAGAAATTATAAACCTGTAAACTAAGGCTTGGGAATTGGGTGAAGCCCTGCGACTTTTAAGTGATGAAGTTTTAGGAAGGTTGCTTGTGTCCTAAAGCTTTTGGTTTATTCTAATGTAAATTTTCAGTGTATTACATATTGATTTTTATTAAAGATTCTAGTGTCAAGCATAGCATGGAATTACTATGGATCTAAGACAGTGCTGGTCAGGAGAAGATAAATGCTGTAGTTAGTACCCAGATTTCTGTAAAACTTATGTCTTTTTCGGAGTTTTAGTGTTCTGTTTAAGTTTGTAAAGTTGGATCTCAAGTCCTAGCAAGAGCTTCTGTTCTGTTACTTGATCTTTTTCTGAGATAACATTTATACTTTGGTAAAATTTTACATGTTTTTGTCCTACATACTCCTTTTTAATCTTTTTTCTTTTTTTTCTAAATTTTTATATGTTCCATCAAATTTTTCTTCTATTTAGTTTGAGTTTGCTTTTCCCAGCATAGCTTTAAATTTTTCAAGTCTGTGGTTCTTAGTAATCTTAGTTGTAGTAGATTCATAATGATTTGGTCATACAAAAATAGCATTATCCTCATTTTATATTTTTGAGACTAGAAATCAGAGTTTTGAGAAAAAATTGTTGCTGCTTCTTTTAATACATTTATTCCAGCGGGCAGCACTTCCCGGTTTATTTGAAGTAGTTTTTTTTTTTTTAAAGGTTCAGATTTTTTTTGTCATTCTGATAGAAATTGATTCTTGTTTGTTGTTAACTTAGTTAAGAAAGGATTGAGCTATGTTCTGGCACAGTAGGTGTTGGTTCTGCCTGAATTTAGGGATTGTCTTATTCTTCTTGAGTATTTGCTTTATTTTTAAAATCCCTCAAATCTGAAGATAAGCTAAGTTAGAAAACTTTGCTTCTATGCTAAAGATCCCCCCTCCCTTTTTCCTCTTATAGCTAGCTATGCCAATCAACTTGCTTCATTGTGACTCTGTGCGTACCTTCCCTTATTGGTGACCAGGCTTCAGCCTATTTATCCCTCTAGTAAAACAATCCAGGGGTTGCATACTGGTGCTGACAGGATTCCACTGTTGTTAATTTACCGAGGGTAGAGAGTGTGACTCCTCATTTGTTTATCATCTGTCCTCACCTCTTATATTCACTGCTTTGGATTATGAGCTATTGGAAGGAGTCTGCATGAGAGAAGATGCTTTTCTCACAAGGGGAAGATGAACTCTAGCAAACCTTATTTGGCTGTCTTCCATTACACCACATCTAATATCTAATAGAAATTATTATTATTATTATTTTTTTTTTTTGGCTTTTTCGTTTTTATCGGTACCGGGGATCGAACTCACGACTGCCTGCTTCCAAGGCAGGTGCTTATGCCGCTGAGCTAAACCTCCAGCCCCCTAATAGAAATTATTTAAGTTTCTGGAAAATAAAGGTTTCTCTGATGATGATGCATACTCTTCCTGTTTTTTGTTTTATTGTTAATTCAGTCAAGGTTTTAAAAAGTGAATAAGGCAATGAGCAGTTGTATTTTTATCTCACCAATATTTTAACTAGTGTATATACTTTTTCAGCATGTTTAATTTGATAAAAATACAATCATAAGGAACAAAATGGCAGCTTGCTAGGGGCTGGGTGCAGAGTCTCTGAGGAGAAATCGGATCAGATGCTAGAATATGAAAACATGGAGAGGGCCAGACTAATAGATAATGATTCTTATTAATCAAGGTGGCAACAGAAGGGAAAAATAAAACTAGGAAGAGGAAGGAAAAGTGCGGGTGGAGAGCTGAGGCCCGATGTGCTCACTGAGCCCCATTCCATGCTGTGCTGAGAATGCCCAGAGGATCTAAGGTCATGCTGAGACCGCGGCTGCGGATAACCCCGGGAGGATGCGGCACAGTGAGCAGTGGATCCAAGGGGAAGAGCTGTATTGGCTCTCTAGGACTACTGGAAATTAAAACCTGGGGCCCTGCGAAGCAGCCAAAGCCACTTGGCAGTGCTGGAGGAGACTGCGAGAGGCTCCAGGGCTCTGAAGCCGGATACTGCACAGTTTTCTGACTGATCCATGCTGTGCTGGAATGCAGTGAAGACACACGGTGCAGTGTGCAGTGGACCCAAGAGGAAGATCTGCATTGAGTCTTGGTGAGTACTAGGGACTGGGTCTTGCGGCTGCTATTGCTGGCTGGAGGACATCTTGGAATTGGGCAGAGCCCACCACCATGGCGGCATCAGTAACACACAGAGGTCTGGTGGAGGACATCTTGGAGTTGGGCACAGCCTGGCACTGAGGTGACATCAGGTAGTCGCCCCTGGCACAGAGAGGTCTGGTGGAGGATATCTTGGAATTGGGCAGAGCCCGGCGCCAGCAGTGACATCAGATAGTTGCCTCTGGTGCAGAGAGGTCTGGTAGAGAATAGCTTGGATGTGGGCATAGCCCTGTGCCATGGTCACATCAGTCAGCCGCTCCTGGCACAGAGAGAACTGGCGGGATCTGCTGGGGCTGAACCATGCCTCTGGTTGGGACCCAATAAGTAGATACAAAATTGTCATGACTCTGTGATGTCCACAAGGTAGAGCCTAACTTGCGGATTGACTGGCACAGAGGCTGGAGGCTAGCCTGCATCATCCCTGCCTATCTCAGGTAACAGAAAATTGGGGAGGGCAGCAAAAACTCCAGTCATCACTCTATGGAAAGACCCTAAGCAATACAGAGAGGGCCAGAGACCCCCAGGACACACCAGTCTGAAAGAAACCAGAAACATGACAAGAGATAGAAATAAAAAAAAATCTCCAGCTGCCGAACCTGGGAAAATAAGCCCAGGAGAAGTAAATACAGAAGAGAACTAGCACAGTAACCATCCAATACTAGACACAACATTAGCTGATATAAAGAAATACCTTCATGACCTTATAGATGAATATAAAACTGTATTTCTGACCCAAGTGAGGGAGGATATAAGGAGATTAATTAAAGAAATGCTAAGTCCTTCCCAAGAGAACACAGATGGAAGAATGGAGGAAATCAGAAAAGAAAGAGAAACCTCTGAGGAAGAATTTAAACATAACTTAGAATACATGAAACAGATCCAGAGAGATTACCAGGAAACTAAAAGCTCCATTGAAAACTGGCAAAATACATTGACAGAAAGTAAAGTTAGCCTTTTGAAACTTGAAGAGAGGTTTGTGATATATGACCATGAAAGAAAAGAGGAACCAGAAAGAAACAATTCAAAGGCTAGAAGATGACAAAAGGATACATAACTTAAGAATAAGGCACCGTGAGTGAGGCAGCAGGGGTAACCAAAAATGAACTACAAAGAGTATTCACAGATACATTAAAGGAAAACTTCCCAAGCATAGGAAAAAGAAATGATATCCAGATAAATGAGGCATACAGAACTCCAGTCACCTACAACCAAAACAGATCTACACCCAGACATATAATAATCAAGATTCCAGAAATTCACCAAAAGAACAGAATACTAAAAGCAGCCAGGGAAAAGAAGCAGATTACCTACAATGGGAAAATTATCAAAATAACAATAGACTTATCAACACAAACTCTCAAATTGAGAAGGGCCTGGGGAGAAATTACCCAAGCTGTGAAAGAAAATAATTTGCAACCAAGACTGATATACCCAGAAAAACTCTCTCCAAATTAATGGAGAAATAAGATGTTTCCAAGACAAGGAGGAACTGTGGGAGTTCATGTCCACCAACCTAACCCTACAGAGAGTCCTGAAGGACATTCCAGAGAGAGAGAGGAAGGGTTACCAGGATTCCAGCAACAGTGGCAGAGAGGCCTCTGAGTGGGGCAGACAGTGGAATGAGGGAGTGAGGTGGACAAATTAAAGCAGTAAAGTGGAGTAGCAGACATGAGGCAGAGACGGTAAGCTATAGTCTTTAATATAGATAGCCTTGATACACTAAAAAAAGGCAGAGGTCATTTTTAATAGTGTATCAGGATTTAAAAGTCACAGTAGTCTGTTTTTTTTTTTTTTTCCTTTTTTTTTTTTTGTCTTTTTCGTTTTTATCGGTACTGGGTATTGAACTCACGACTGCATGCTTGCAAGGCAGGTGCTTATGCTGCTGAGCTAAATCCCCAGCCCCAGTCACAGTAGTCTTACTGCTCTGTTTGAATTTATTTTGTTCTGGTCTTCCACTCATATCAGATTTGAGGGCACAGACATCTAATCCCAAAATACCAGGTTATACAATGGTAACTATCCTTAATTTCCTATTAACTTAAACTGAAACCTTGTATTACTTACATTGTCTTATAATGACTGATCTTATTTGAATCTGATTTGTTAGATTCAAGTGGTTTTGCCTTGGCTGACTTTATTCGAATTTGGTATGCTTCATAGTATCAAGTCTAAAATAGAGGCAACTACTCTGGAGATGGCAAGATGTAAAAGATATCCATACCGGTTTTGATTATTAACAGGTCTCAAGTCCTACAATGTTTTCAAAGTTGTGTTTTTATAAAAATAGCTATGTAATACTATGCTTAACTATAGTAAGCCTGATGATGTGGACAAGTCTATTGAAAATAACAAGAGAAAGCATAGTAACTAATCACCTAATATTGTGGTCTTATGTGTCTTTTTCATTACATATTTTTTCTAGGAATTTGTTTTGCTGTCTTGTTATGATTTGTTTTCCCTATCATACAGAGAGGATAGATACACATATAGAAATTCACACATGGGAAGAATTTTTTAAACTTCATGGGAACAGATTATACAATGCAAGATGTAATGAACAGATACTCTGAAGAAGAAGAGACACTTAAGAAACCCAATGCTAATTCTGTAGCATTAGGATATAAAATCTAGCAATACTATTATTCACTGTTCAGAGTAATATTAGTCCAGTCTCTTAATTTCAATTTCAGCATGCGTAAAGATAAGGACAGCTACTACAAAGAGAATGAGAAACACTATTGTAGTCATTATTGGCTTCTCCAATATCAGATCTTGAAGACCTAAAAAGCCTTCATCATCCTGTAATGATTTGATTAGTTCTATAATATGCAGTATGTATTCAATGTGTGTGAAGATGGGGACAACTATTTGGAAGAAAACTAGAGACAATAAGATAGATAGTGAAGATCTCCAGTGGCCTTGCTTTGAAATCTGCATTTCTTTAAATTGTTTCTTTTTGAACTGTTGTTTCTGTTTTGATATGTTTAATCTTACCCTCTTCAAGATAAAAAACAAGTTTGTAGGACTGATAACCATATTAGTAAGATTTTGTTGGATCATTGAGCAGAACTGTTGGCAATGTCACTATTTGAATGTCACTTTACATACTTTAATTTTGTAACCTGAACAACTATTTCTAAGATGACAGTATTTAACTTATCAGCTGGTGATTTCTTACTGTTTATTTTTCTGTAATTCTGTATTATTTCTACCCTTTTTTGTCCATTTTTTTGTTGATCTTTAAATAAAAAATACAGTCATAGATTTATTTCTAAGATTATTTATATGCCAAATTTATAAAAGAATAACTGTTTAATTTTGACATCTATTTGTGCAGATGCTAATTGGTACTTATTTGCTTTTTAGATAATGGATTCTACATCTCTGTTACCAGCATTTTTAGATGTGGATTTGACAGTATCACGTATTGAATGTTGTTCCAAGGATATTCTTGTGAAATTTCAAGGCAGAAAAAATGGTGAATGTGAGTTTGACTACCACATATTGCAGAGAGAAATACAGCATATTCCAAAAATAAAAGATAATGTGGACATCTTTGAGTTTTGTTTAGTGGAAGAAAGAATAACTGGAGAATGGCAGAGAGGAAGAGTCATGAAAAAGAAAAATGAACTCTATACAGTGCTCCTTATAGATCAAGGAGAAGAATTAACAGTTGATAGTACACAGGTTGCTTCAGCCTGTAATAATATATTTGATCTACCACCACGGGTAGTGTTTGGTATTTTTGCCAACATTCTTCCAGTTGGAGAAAAGTGGTCTTGTAAGGCTTTGAATTACTTCCAGTCTTTAGTAGGAATACAACTGAAAGGTCATGTGCAGGCTATTTTGCCTCTGCAAATGATTCTTCTTGAAGTGCCACAAGTTATATCCTGGGCTCTTGAGTTACAATTAGGAAGATTTATTGATGGAGATTCATTTCGTCTTATTGTTGAAATGTTAAAAGAATTTCCTCAAAAAATGCCTGATTTACTACAAGATGAAAGAACTAGATTGTCATTAAGTGATTATGACAATTTACTTGACATTCAACATATTTTGGATAATTTGCAGCCATCTTTATCAGAAGGAAGTTTTGAAAGTGTCAGGATATCATCTGCATTGAGTCCAAATAAATTTTATTGTCAGTTGGTTAAATGGATTCCAGAGCTAGAAAACCTGACAGTGTGTATGACTCTACATTATGATATTATTAGTCAAGAAACTAGTCCCAACTGTGATAATTTTGGACTACTTTGTGTTGCGAAAAGCAGAAATGGACAGTGGCGTAGAGGAATTCCTCAGCAGCTCTTGCCCAATAATCAAGTAAAAATTTGGTTTATGGATTATGGCAGTTGTGAGACTATACCTTCAATTTATGTAAAGAAACTGAAACAGGATTTTAGTTTAGTACCATTATTTTCATTTCCATGTTCCCTGACGTATTTACACAGTTCGGATAGAGATGTACGAAAACTTCAATTGAGTGTATTTAAACAGGCCTTGTTAGGACAAACAGTATATGCACACATTGATAGGTTCAATAAGGATGAACATTTGTATTATGTGACATTACAGACTCTAGAATCTACAGTTAATTCTGAGTGTCTGCTAAAGACTATGGGCACACAAATATTTTGTCCAATGACTAGATCAAAACTCTCCAACATCTCAAGTGAGCCAGGTGCTTATGATATAAACAGCTTTGCAGTTGAGAGTTTTGTTGGAAATACTGAACAATCAATAAATTGTTTAAATAAAAATGATATTTTAAAAGTAGGTTGTTCGGTTAAAACTGTAGAAATGGTGGTGAAGACTGTCTATGTAGCTTTTGTGTCATATGTATTAAACCCCTCAAATTTCTGGGTACGTACTAATAACCATCAGAATGAATTTCAAGATATAATGAAAAATATAAATAAATGTTATGATTCATGTGAAAATGATGAACTGATTCTAAGAAATCCTAAGCCTGGAATGTTTTGTTGTGCTAGATACAGCAAGGACAGATGTTTTTACAGAGCGCTCATCACTGAAATTAATGATTGTAAGGCTAATGTGTATTTTTTAGATTATGGAAACACCGATTCCATACCTTTCTTTGATGTGAAAATTTTGCTTCCAGAATTTTGTGAATTGCCTGCTTTAGCCATGTGCTGTTCACTTGCACATACAATTCCGGTTGAAGATTTATGGGTAAAGGCAGCAGTTGATTATTTTAAAAAAATTGTTTTGCACAAAGAAATTTTGCTTCAAGTTATAAGAAAAAAAGAAGACAAGTATACTGTAAATATTCAAAGTATTGAATCCTCAGAAGATACTGATGTTGTGTCTCTTATGTCAAAAGCTGGATATGCAGAATATTGGGAAATAGAGCCAGAATATTTCCCAGAATCTGTAACTGAATGTTCAGTGTTAAATTTAAAGTCTAAAAGGAAAGTCAGTACTAAGAACATCACATCTGCCCTTCTTGAAAGACCTAAACCTAAAAAACACCTGTCAAATAAGTTTGAAGAAAAAAGTTTATCTTTGTGCAAATCCCAAGCTGTTAATTTCTTAGAGTTAAAAAATCCTTTCATTTTATCTTTGGAATCTGATTCATCAAGGCCTTATAAGGAACATATATTTAAACCAGGAACTGTTCTTGAAGTTAAATGTTCTCATTACTATGGCCCAAGTGACTTTTCCTGCCAACTCCAGTGCAAGTTAGAAGACCTAAAGTTACTGATGGAACAAATTCAGAGTTATTATAGCATTCATTCTGACCCTTACCAGATTGGGCAGATTGCTTGTATTGCTAAATATTCCAAAGATGGGAAGTGGTATAGAGCTGCTGTTTTGACTCAGGTATCAAACAAAGAAGTTGATGTAATATTTGTGGACTATGGTTACCAAGAACGAGTTTTAATTAAAGATCTTTGCGCTATTAATCCACATTTTCTTTTTTTAGAAGGCCAAGCTTTCAGATGTTGTCTTAGCCATTTACTTGAACCAGTTAGCTATAAATCATTCTGTTGGACAAGAAAAGCATCCAGAGACTTTGGACTTTTTATTTCTTCCTCTAGAGGGTTACTGACTTGCATAATTTATGCCCTAGGTCTTATACAGCCTAATTGTTTATATAATTTAGTGGACTTGCAGTCTTCATTTACTAGTGCAAAAGAATTTCTTACCAGTCATGGGTCAGTACAATATAGCACATTATCATATCCATTGCCATATTCAATTAGTCTGTACAGTTATTATTATTCTTCCTTTAATATAAAAATTGGAAGTGAAGAAGTAGTATATATATCTCACATATGTAGTCCCCAAAAGTTTTATTGCCAACTTAGTAGAAATTATAAAGATTTAGACATGCTGAAAACAAAAATCATAGAGATGATTAGCCTAAAAAATTGCCCAAAGTATGATTCTAGTAAAATGAGACTGTGTATATCTAAATATGCAGAGGATGGTCTCTCATACAGAGTACTAGCAAAACCAACGGGTTCATCGTCTGAATTTCTAGTGTATTTTGTGGACTTTGGAAATAAACAATTAGTCCAAGAAAATATGTTGGTGGCTATTTCAGATCAGTTTCCAGAGTTGCTGTTTACACCTATGCAAGCTGTTAAGTGTTTTTTGTCAGATCTTAGAGATACAGAGACTCCAGAAGAAATCAATAACTGGTTTGAAAACAAATTTTTGGGAAAATCATTAAAGGCCATGATACTTTCCAGGGAGTCAGATGGCCAGCTTGGTATAGAGTTATATGATGGGTGTCAACATGTAAATCAGAAAATTAAAATACTGCTTCATAATTATAGAAAAAAACATTTTGATCAAGGACAATATGTGGAAAAGGATCATAATTTAAATAAGAATAAGAGACATGCTGTTTCTCAGAAAGGTAAAATAGAATACAACTATCACCATAATATGATAAATAACACTAATCTAGTAACATATTCTGAAAACAAAATAGACCAGTTAATGCATCGCAGAAGTACATATGTCAAGCTTTTGAAACCACCATTTTGTTATAAAATTGAACCAGTGTCCAAAAACAAAGTGAAGTTGTTGAATGATGGACTTAAAAATAAAGGTATAAAAGTTATCCATGGATCTATACACATTCTTAATGAAAGTGATATGGGACAGAAATCAGTAAAGGTTGTGTCACAGTCATTTATCAGAGGGTTAAATCAAGCAATCTCAGAAAATTCACATAATTTAATTAGACCACAGATCAAAGATCTTCCTGAACCCAAAATTTACTTGAATGCCCAAGTAAAAGGGTATGTATCCAATATCAACAATCCAGCAAGTTTCCATATTCAGCTTGCTGAGAATGAAAAGATTATCCTAAGACTCGCAGATGCTCTAAATGGAAGGGCAAATAGAGTGAAAGAACAAAGCTCAGTTAAACTTTCGTTGAAAGACCTTGTTGTTGCAGAGTACCCTGGTGACAATGCCATTTACAGAGCAGTTATTAAGAAAATTTTGCCAGAAAATACTTTTGAAGTGGAATTTATTGATTATGGTAATACTGCTATAGTGAACAGATCTAAAATTTATGAACTTAAGACGAAATTCTTAACTATTCCTCAACTGGGAATCCATTCTTTTCTCAGTGGAATAAAATGGAATGAGCCTGCTCAAATATGGGACAGTAAAACTGTGGATTATTTTGCCTCAGTAGTAAGTAAAAAAATAGTGTCTTGTGAATTTTTGAAAAAGCATGACCAGAAATGGGAAGTTAGTATAATTTGTGATGAAAAATGTGTCATCAGTGAACTACTTAAATGGACAGCATATTGGAAACCACAGAAGACAGTATTGCGAAGGCCTTCGGTTGGCTCTCAGAGTGTGAGCCATGATGAAGATAAGGAAGTGATAAAGGGAAGATCTAATGAATACGAAGAGTCTTCGATCCTTCAACCCTCTTCCCAGCAGCCCGTTAAAATTCCCTTTGAACAGTTAAAACCTGGACAACTTGAAAAAGCCAAAATACTTTGTGTTTCGAAGAGTGGAAGATTTTATGTGAAGTTATTAAAGAATAAAAACATCTTATCAGATTTAACTGTATTAGTTACTAAAGAAGAAGAAAGCACCTCATCAGTGGAAAATACTGAAGAAGACTTAGAATGTTTGGCAAAATCTAAAAAATCTTTGAAGTGGTATCAATCAAGAGTAGAGAAGAAGTGTGTTGATGAAAATGTGCTTGTTTTTTTAGTAGATCATGGTAGGTATGAAACGGTGCCTCTAAATAATACCAGAGTGCTTTGTAATGAAATCATAAATATTCCAAGACAAGCTGTGCCTTGTAAATGGATTTGGTTTGAAAATTCTAAGAGTATACCTTTTGAGTCCATTGTGTATTTATTTCCTCATTTTGAAGTAAGTATCCTTTTCCTAAAATATTTAGACACTGCTTGGGAAGTAGATATTTTGTTAAATGGTGTGCTACTTTTAGAATATTTCAGCCCAAATACAATTAAGGTTGAAGAAAACAAAGTTCAGTCTTCAGGAATTATTTTCAGCATGGAATCTCTGGCTCTTATGTCACCATGTGGAGTAAGACCCTTTACTTGGACACAGCTTCAAAGTGGTGGGCAGCATTGTGGTATCGCTACTGCTGTTTCTGATCCATCAGACTTCTGGGTTCAGCTAGAAGATTTTTTTGACACAATGAAGTATCTCTTTGTGTTGCTTTCTGATCTACCAGAAACCTTAGAAACATTACCTCAAGAGCTCATTATTCCTGGTTGTAGTTGTTTATTGAAATGTGAAATGGAAGATCAATGGAATAGAGTAGAAATTTCTGAAGTCTCTGATCGGCTTTTGCTTCTTAAGCTGGTTGACTATGGCTTTTCTTTTTATATACCTTATTCAGGTAGAAAAAATCTTAAAGTTGTTCCTGAGGAACTTTTGAATTTGCCAAGGTTAAGTTATCCATGTATCTTACATGGCATTTTACCTGTTACAGGAAAACATTGGAATGAAAAAGTCAAAAGCTTTTTAAATGATTTTCTAAGCAAACCAGGCTTAGTTTTTCAGTTTCGAGAATGTGATTTTAAAACAAAACTGAAGGTAGATGTCATTCATGGGACAAAGAGTTTGACAGATATACTAGTTGCATCTGGACTTGCAGTGTATTCTGAGGATTCAGCTGATCTTGATGTAATTACTGCTACTGGATGTACTAAAATCCAAGGTGGGTTATGGAATAAAGCTGTTTGTCCTGTGTTAAATCACGATTGTGACAAAATACAAAGTGTGAATTGTATATGCACTGAGAAACAAAAGCTAAAGAAATGGAAACCTTTGAAGAGGAAAGTCCATAAACTCTTCTTTAAGAGAAGCCATGTCAGTAACAAATTACATTTTAGAAATTTAAAATTGAGAAATAAAGGTCGTAATAGAAAACATAGTACTCAGAGTACCACTACGTTTGATACATGTGGAGTGGCTTCATTTTGGGAACCGCCTGATTGCCTGAAAAATAATACCAGTTGGTTTGAGAACATTTTTGAAAAACTACCAACTGAAGGAATACAGGAAAATAACAGTGGACTTGATAACAGGAGTAAAAGTGCTGTTACGTTAATGAAGAAACTATGTCAGAAAACTTAAAAGGTAAGCAGTCATTTTTCAGTCTTTCTGTAGATTCTTTTTTTGATATTTTATGGGCTAAAATTATCCAGATTGAATACAGTATATGGCAAGAAAGCAAGAAAAACTCTTAATAAGACCCATGATATTTATAACATACTCTTTTTTTGTTTTTCAGTGGAGGGAAATAAAACCTTAAATCATTTTTGCTTTAGATCAGCAACAAAAAACATATGGAATACTCAGTAATTACCTTGTTTTAGATGTTCAGATGTTCCAGGGTAAAATTGGTAAGCCTGGGACAATAACTTCTGATATTAAACCATGTTAAAAAATCCATATTTTCCTAAGAGTCAGTGTATGTTGAATATATTTTATTTGATAAACTGTTCTAATTTCAAAGCCATTGGTATCATTTATCATTACTTTTACCTTTTTAAGATGGCCTTTCATACTAAAATTTGTTTCAGTTGCTATCTAGGAGTGATAATTAGAACCATGGTTACCATTTTTTTCTAGAAAATATGGGTGATTATAAAAAGGATTATTAAAGTGTATGAAAGATGCATATGTAATTGCATCTGTAAGTCTATATCTGGTGTTTTTTCCTTTATATACTTCATATTTTATGGGGTTTTTATATTTATCTTTTGTTTGTTTTGGTTTTTAGTTTTCTAAATTTTAATTTTCATTAACATGCATCAATTCTACATATTAATGGAGTTCAGTAATTTCCACACTTACAGCAAACGCAGCTCAAATTCGACCTCCCTTTACTCACCCTTTCCCCCATCATCCTTACTCCTTCTCACACTCTAATAGTTCTATATCAACTTGAAAACTATTTTTAGCTTGAAGTTGTGGATGGATATTCATGGTAATACAAGAACACTGGTACTGGGGCTGGGGATTTAGCTCAGCGGCATAAGTACCTGCCTTGCAAGCAGGCGGTCGTGAGTTGGATCCCTGGTACCGGTAAAAATGAAAAAGACAAAAAAAAAAAAAAAAAAAAGAACATTGGTACTTGGTGGGGAGGGGAAATATTTTGCCTTTCATTTATCTGTACATTGGAATTATTTTGCAAGTAAACAGCAAGTTCTGATTATTATTTTGATTCTAAAAATAGAACTATGAAAATATACAAATGCTTTTAAGAGTCAGCATAAACCAAATAGTTCTGCATGACTGTTTGGTAATTTAAAAGTTATTTAGGAAAACTTAGAAAATTCTTAAACAAGAGAGGATAAATCTATTATATTGTATTCTACACATCTATTTTGAACATTTTGGTGTTATGTTTTCAGAATTAGGAAATAATTTTCAGAAATACGGTTTTTAATAAAGATATGTGAGTTTAATTTTGGTATCTTCCAGTACTCTGGGAGGCTGAGGCACAGTACAGATTTGAGCCCCATCTGGGCAACTTAGTGACCTTGTGAGACCCTGTCTCTAAATTAAAAAAAAAATACTGGGGGTGTGGCTCAGTGCAAAGGCTGTAGGTTCATTCCCTATTATCAGAAAAAAATGGTCTTGAATTTTAAAATTATTCCACACTGGAAACTTTTGTATGTATTTAACAGTAACAAACTAGTCTCTGGTTTGTAAGTATGTTAGAACGGGATTTCGCATTTATTCTCTGTAATCAAAATTAGAATACTATGTGTTGTTCCCTCTGCTAGATTTCAAAGATTATTTTCTGCAGTTATGAAGTGTTTCCATTGGGAAACTAATTCACTTACAACTTCTGTGGCTGTTGTATCACTAGGGTGCTTTTGCTGTTGTTTACCATGGATTATGGCAAAAGCAATGATTTGGATTAATGGGAATGAATTGATTCTAAAAATAGAACCTCTTATATAAGATTATATAATAACTTTTTACCCTCTTGGGCCAAGGTTACAATTTAATCAATAAGGACCTCATAGGTCTTTGGTTTTTAAATACTTTTTAATTTCATGTGCCTTGATATTTTATGTTTAGATATGACAGAATTGACAGACTAAAAAATTTATTGGCACTATTTAAGTTGTTAACTACTATTGAAAATGATGTTTTTATAAAACTTCATTTCAGTTAATTTCTAATTGAGTTTTTCTATTTATAATAGAATTCCAGTAGAGAAAGTATATGAAAATATTTCTCTTAAAATGAATTACATTTAATTTAAAATTAAGTCTTATTTTGAAAGGACATTTTAAAAATTGTATTAGTTGTTTTAATACTATAAAATTATTTCAAGGAGGATGTATAATCTTGAGCATAATGCATGGCTTAATTCAGTATACGTTAAATTAAAATTATTTTAGGATTTATACTTAGGATAGTCAATATTATAATTATTTTCTCAATTTAAAACACATTAAATTGTTAATAGGATATGCTATTTTGTAAGTGTTGCAAATAGATTTTTGCTTAAAAATTGGGAGAGCATTATAAAGTTATAGGTAAAATATTTCAAAGTTTAGAATTACTAAGTTTTACTCTGGAAATTTTCTAATTTTTCTTTATATAAAGATATATTTTTAAACTCATATAAAATGCCTTACCTACGTAATAAAAAATACTCATTAGAGAAATAGTTAAGACTTGATATTTTAAAAGAATTTCACCTGTGCATTTTTCATGGCTCTGCTGATATGAAATAAAAAGACATCTCAAACTGTTAAAACTAAGTTATGCAGCTGCTTCCTAGTATAATTATTTTCATCTGTATGAGATGCTAAATTAAATTTTATTCATTTTTCCTGATTGATTTTTGCTTTTTAACATGCATGTTTCAGTATCAGTAATTTTTTTCTGATACTTAAAGCACACTGAAGTCTAATATTTTTTAGCCAGCTTTCCTGTGCATGGAACAAAATACTTAAAAAGCAAAACTTAAATGATGAGTGGTTTATTGTCGCTCACAGTTTTAGTGGATTCATTGCATAGCTTGTTGGCATCAAGGCAGAAACAACATAGCAGAGGGTCATGGCACAGGAGGAAAACTTTGCACCACATGGTAGTGAGTTTGAGAGACAAATGGGGACCTGGGAATTATACTATACCCTTCCAAGTCACACCTCTAGTGACCCATCCTTTCTGACTAGGCCTCTTAAATGTAAACGTTCTGGGGACATTATAGCACTAACCCTTAACATTGTACCCCTTGTTCCCTAAAAGGCTCATGTCTGTACCATTATGAGAGTGCCAATTTTTAATACCAGCATTGCTAAAATGTGTAGGTCAAAAGTGTCCTCTGAGACTTAAGGTGGTCACATTTGTGATCCCTTATAAAAATGGCAGAGGGTAAACATTCCCATTTCCAATGCAAGGGTTAAGGGAGTAGAAAGAAATCAGAGTAAAAGAAGACCGAAGCCCAGCAGGACAAACATTAAGTAATACAGCTCAGTGTCCAGCGCCCAGGGTGGATTGTGGCGGATGTGCATTCCAGAGGCCATGAGCAGTCCTTGCCCGCGACCTTCCTGGCTGCAGTCTACAGCGGTCTGTCTCTTAGACTGGTTGCACTCACTGCCTGCAGCTTTCTTCAGCTGATGTCCCGATTTCCTAGGTGTTCACTACAGCTTTGTTTTTACTCTGGTGGCTTCATGCGCTGCTCTCTTACTGGTTTCTCATAGGAACTGTGTCTGCATCACGTATTTTTGCCTGGGCTCTTGTGTTACCTTCTGTAATCTGGAAGCTGCTGTGACCCTTAAACTTGCATTTAATGTACCTGAACACCAAATGCCATGAGTGATGCCAACATGAGCTGCAAGCTTGAGAAGTATGTTGGACTCCTTGAACCACGATTGTAGGAGTCTCTTGAGTACTGAAGTTATTGATCTACTTCTCTAAGTGACCCTGAATGAATAGGTATCCCAGGGAGCCTCTTCTAAAATTTAAGTTTACAGTTTTGTGCTCTTGAGCCTGCAGTGACTTGTGGCCTTGCTGATTTCTGAGGTGCCCTCAAGACATCTTTCATAGCACTTTACAAAGTATTTGACTTCTTTTTTAATACTAACCTTTTAAGCATCCAGTCTCTTCCTAACCTCAACTTTGTAGGAAACTTCTATCTTATGAAACTGGAAACTTGACAAATTATTTACATATTTTCTTCTTCTGATTCTCTGTAGGTCTGGCTAAAAGCAATGAGATATACCTGTACTGTAGCTTAAACATTGCACTGCCTTGAAATTTCCCTAGCCAGATTAATTAGTCCACCAACTTTAAAGTCAGGTTTACACAATCTGTGTGTATAGCCTTCTAAGTCTTTCTGGAACCTCCAAGCTTTTCCAAACTCATCCTGAAAATCAGTTCTAAAAAACTTCTGAACTACATGGTCAAGTACAGTCACAACAGCGGCCCTACTCCCAGTTACCAGTTTTCTTTGTTAGTTAACTTTCCTGTTACCGGGAAAAATACCCAGCACCCTTAGTATAATGGAGGAGGGTTTACTTTTGCTCACCGTTTTAGTGAATTTGGTTTATCGCTAACTGGCTCCAAGGCAAAAACAGCACGTGTGGTTGAGGAAAGCTTTTTACCGCACCTCGGTCAGGAAGCTGAAGGAAGAGGGATCTAGGAACAAGAACACAGCTTTCCGTTTACCTCCCAAGTGGTCCACTCCTTTGACCAGGCCCACCTCCAGGTTTGAGTTTGGAGAGTCACTTTAGATATAAACGACACCATATATTGTTTTTAAAAAATGAGCTTTGAGACATAGTTACTTTAGTATATATTCAGGGAAATAATTTTTGATTCATGAATGTTTTGAGTTAAAACTTTTTAATAATCAAGTATTTTACATATGCTTTCCTAATGTCTGAAATTTTATGAATCTTTTAAAAAGGTAATATAACATTTAAATAATCATAGCATGAACTGACTGGGATGAATGCATGTTGAGTCTACTTTTATCTCCTCCCTTCCCTACTCCTCTCTGTCTGTCTGTCTGTCTGTCTCAGATTTTCCTCAACCATTTTATAAAGCTTTGATATACTTTATTGCTAGATTGTTTAGTTTTGGCTTGAACTTTGAAATCCTGTTATCTTAGTCTGTCCAAGAACTTAGATTCCAGGCATGCTCCACTACGCCTGGCTGAAGTTTCTCTTAACCAAACGTTTTTCTTACTCAAATAGTTATTGTGCCTTTGCTGTTATGTGTAAAAGTATTTTTGAGCTGGACAAAGCTACTAAGTTTTTGTTAGTTCATCAAACAGAATGGTTTGTACTGTCATTGTTTGA